TTTTATTGTAAAAACTTGAAACTACTGTAAATATTCATTGAATATCATGAGCTTGATTTTTTTCTGGGAATATACCAATTGTTTGCTATTATTATTCATACAAAGATCGAACACAAAGAAAAATTCATTCGATCTGGCTAGACTCGGATCAGTGTCTGCTGCCATGCCGGCACCACAGCTATTAACCAAATGATGTATAGACCGAGTAAGCAGGTCCCTAGAGTTTTTTATGTGTTTGTTACTGTAAGTAATTGTCAGTAAGCAATCGTCGTAAAGTCTCCATAGATATGGAGACTTTACCCAATGTCTGTTATCTCTTACAGCCTAAACGCTTCAACCGATTTTAAAATATGAGTTGTCCTCAGAGAAGTATGAACACTGTTAGTTTAACAGGATAATGTTATGTTGTCATTGTTTGTGCTTCTGTTCTTGCGAAGATTCTTTGTTGATGAAAACTGCGTGAATTGTGCCTTATAATATGTTATAAATTCAAAAATTACAAAAGTTGTGCCACGGTTTAGCGCGCGTTGTAGCAAACGTAAACTAATTAATTCAAAAACGTATACAGTTCAATAACGGCAACTGAATGTTGCCGCAGTGAAAAGAAAAACAAATTTTTTGAAGCCTCTTCTGGTGAGATGCTTGAACAGTCATCAAATCAATATAGTTAGCAATATGCTAAACGTCATAAAGTGAAAAAAGATCTGAGCGACCGTATTCAAGACAAAGTACATAAAAACGGTAAAAAATAAATTATGCTAAATGGAAAAGACTAAACAGATAAGCAATAAAAGTATATAATTAAAAATAGTGAGATATTTAAACTTCTCAGCCAGAATTGAGCCAATTGTAGATAATGACTTTAGGACGAAGTCCGACCCCGAGACGTTATTTTTATCAGTTTATTTAAAAATAATTATTTTTTTCAAAATTTTTGAAAATTATTACTAAAGTAAGAGTTAAATTTCATAAGTATAACATTATATAATATTATGCTCTCGGACTCACGTATCGAGATCATAAATAGAAATAAAAGAAAAACGAAAAAAACATGGTATATACTTAAAAGATTTCACGCAAACATTGTTATCAATCACAAGGAAACTTTATTGCCTGGGAAAGGCTTTCGTCAAAGCGCACTCGAGATCCGCTATGAGGTCTTGTGGGTCTTCTAGGCCGACCGACAGTGTGATGAGATTCTCAGTGACTCCCATCGATTCTTTTAAAAAGGGGTCAAGTAATCCGTGGGACATCATATATCTGAAAATTAAAAAGGAAATTAAAAAAACCTTTACTATTGCATATTTACTAAAATAAAACTACATGAGGTTTATGTAGTTGGCGCCAAAATCTAAAATGTTGATTCAGAAATTGAACAACATTTGTCCTACGACACAGAACCCTGGAGAACCCAAATTTTGCTTGAGGGGAGAAATTCTTTTGCTAGAAAAATATTTTTTTGGAAGGAAGTCTAATAATTAGTCACCTCGTAAATCATACTACATCGAAGCTGGCAATACTGTATAACGCAGACAATGTGATATAAATACAGTTGTTACAAGTAAATAATAGTTACACAGACTCTACCAGGGTATAGCAAATTGTACTTAAATCTAGTTCGTATTATATGAACTTGTAGTATTACTTTCCGACATAGAAATGTAATGTTTGAATCAGGTACCAAATACAAATATAGGCTACATCGAGATAATTTTGTTAGAGATCACTATTCTGCATGAATTCAGAGTCTGAATAATGTTTTTTTTACAACACAAGTCTTTATTTAAATATTTCTAAAATCGGCTATAAGTATGTTACTAATTACTTATATATTTATAATAAGCTCCTTTATATTTTTTGTATGTATGTTACGCAATAACTCATTTGTGAATCGATTTCGGTGATTCTTTTTTCGTTAGAAAGATGGTACCCCAGTAGTGGTCCCATTTAAATTTGAGGTCGGTTTTTTTAGTACTAATAATATAATCTCAGTACAGACTGAGATTATATTTTAAAGCTATTAACGAATTTCCACATTTGGGAACATCATATATAACCTGTACAGAAAGTTATGCATTTATACTCAAGGTTACACATTGATACAGAAGGCAAACAGCTGTGCCGCTCGCAGAAACAATTGATTGACCAAATGGCCGCTGCACAAAGGAACAAGTATGCCAAATAGCGATATCGGTGACATTATTGTTACTCACGGTAAGCCAATTAAACTCTTGTATCCACCCAGACTCTCGGCCAGTGTAAAAATCTTGACTGTTGATAGAATAATATTTGTCTCATGGCGACCTCCAAAGTGTCTGAAGCTAATTATTCCAGAGTGACCTTTTGCTTGATGGTGGAAGAGCTCATATTGAGGATGTGATCTGAGACCTGGTAGTTTTTAAAATTAAAAACATAAAACAAATAAAAATAACGAGTTCTTAGGTGTTCGCAATTGGTACATATAGGAAATGACACTATTTTTCCGGATTTAAATCACGTATATTGGTTTTTTTCAAACAAACCGACGTTTCGGGCCCTTTACAGGTCCCATGGCCATGATCATCAACCGTGACCATGCCTCCGTGCCTCCGTGGTCGAACGGTTACCATGCCAGACTGCCACGCAAGAGGTCCCTGGTTCGATTCCTGGTCCGGGAGAAACATTTGTATGGCCTACATTTATTTTTCTCGTGAGTTTGGGTGTAATTTGTGGTTGTCTATGTTTATGTCCATGGCACCCGCGATACAGGGTTTCCCTAGTGTGGGGTTATGTTGAGTGTGTGCGTTATTATTAATATAGACAACCACAAATCACACCCGTAACCGTTCGGCCACTGATGCAGTTGAACTATACGACTATGTATTAAATACATCATTATCCTATTTAAAACCACTGTCTCTATAGATATTAAATACGTAGTACCTGGGTGCAACACTCTAGCTATCCGTTGATGTCTCTCTAGATACTTTGCTACTTCTATCGAGTTCCTTTGGTGTTGTTCTAACCGAATCGATAGTGTTTTTAAGCTTCTACTCACTAAGTAACAGTCATATGGCGATGGTATTATTCCAGTGCCTGTTAATAAATATAGATAAATTAAATTCTAAATTGAATTGAAATCCTCAAATCTGAGAGCTTTCAAGAGGTTTATAAAGATCGTAGTAGAATTCAAAGAACCATCGTGACTTTTCCAGGTTGACAAATAGTGCAAACTGTTATTATTTAAATCTATACACTAAAATAATGAACTTTAATCACGCTAACCTATCAAAATTATACATTTAATCAATCATGGTTAATTCATTATCATTTCTGCAATCATTGTGCTTAATAGATTCAGATGGACATAATGTCCATGACCGCCTTAAACAAAATCTTGTTTATTTCAATCACTTTTTTTATTATACTTTAAATAACAACAAAGTGAGTAAATAAAGTGAATCGTGCAATCGGCAATTAAACTATATTGTATGATATAAATCGCGTATATTTGTTTCTTCATACAAACCAACGAACGTTTCGGGCTCTTTACATCTGACTGATACACTTAACATCTGAAGATAATTCTGAATTAAAGTTATTAATTATTATAATATAGCGTTAATGTGGTGGTTTAGATTATTAAACATAATTGATAATTAATATCACTTCAGTAAGCCGTGATCATGTGTCCCGTGTACAAACAAATATAAGTAATTTAGATGTGAAAATATAGTTTAATTTCCAATGCGAAAATATAAGAACTGGATCTTACAAGTCTGCGTATAGCGTAGCTTCTTTTCTAAATCACTATCGTTAAGGACCGCTGCTCCCATAATAACATCTGAGTGGCCGTTCATATACTTCGACAAAGAGTACATGGATATGTCTACTCCATAATCAAGCGGGCGTTGAAAGTAGGGGGTGAGATACGTGTTGTCTTGCACTACAATGATTGTCCCTCGGTCATGCGACATTCTTGCAATCTTACTAATATCAAACACTTTCAGCAGAGGGTTAGTCGGAGACTCAAACCAGATCATCTGAAACAGATTGCCACGACTACTATGTTCACATGACTTACGCAAGAAATAAAATCTTCATTTCAAAGTTCAAACCTTAGTGTTTGTCTTGATAGCCCTGTTTAAATTATCACCAAACATAAAATCCACAAATGTAACTTCAAAGACGTTTCTAGAAATATAGTTCCTGAAATTAATGAAAAGTAATTTTGGCTTGCACGGACATATACTTACATTTGTAAGTGATTAACAACAATAGCAAAAAAGAAAACAAAATACGTGAAGTAGCAATGCGCGATAGCGAATGATTTCGACATACGACTCCTAATCCTGTCTTTCGAATGACAAATTAATATAGCCTACTAAAAATCGTATTCGAATGGTCTAAATTATCATTCATAATACTAATTAGTATTATTAATCGATAGGTTCCATAGAGCATGTCTGCCTAGCCCTCTCTGATATATGGTAAATACAGTAAATGTGACGGGGACAGGGATATTTTGATAAGGACATGATAAATGATCTGGTGGAATTACGAGTAGTTCTGACATAATAATTCGACTCGTGTATCCGGCCTAACGTCAGGGGCATTCGATATCGGCAATCATTCGACTCGAGTCGAATTATTGTACTGGGATTCGAATTAAAATAAGCGAATGAATTGCCCATTCAAATGATTCGCGGATCGCTAACATGAAGCAAATGTTTCCAATAATTCTCAAAATCCACTAGGTATCTACTTCTTGTTATCGTATTGTTGGTATATATTCATTGTGATTCAGAAGTCTACGGCTACGCCGACCGCGTTTCTAGTAGTCGCCATTAAAGCCTCAATCGTAAAAGGTGTTAGGGATCGCAGGGCACGGTGTGAGGTGGGCCAAACAATCCAGATTAGAATCATCCCCACCTGAACAAATTGTCCTTACTCCGGCCAATCTGAATTCGAAACCTATTTAGTGACTTCCTGATCGGCCATTGCAATTCATGGCCAGGAAGACTGTCAGAAGACGAGACATAGGTATATGGTACTCTATCGCAGCAAAGGTTGCACTTAGCTATGTTAAACCAACGACTTACTCGAGCAAATGCTTAGTTCCTTCGTAAAGGTCTACGCTGGCAATAAGGTGATCATTACTTGACAGCAACGATAGGATAGCAGTCGCAGCTCCAATGCCTGATGAGAATGTCAATGCGTGCTTGGCTCCTTCTAGTGCCGCCAGACAGGCTTCTAGCATCTCTCTAGTCGGATTTGCTTGTCTGGCGTACGAGTATTTCTAAAAAAAATATAAGTCAAATCGTTCGATGAAGTTATGCCACTTTACCTATTTCTGCCGTCAAGCAGTAATGTGAGCTTAACTACGTTCCCGTTTTGAAGGGTAAGGGTGCTATTGAAATTATAGGCACATGAGTTTTGTCAACTTATGTCTCAGTTACATGGGTGCATTGACAGTGTCACTCATATCTTTGCGATTTAAAGATTTGATGCTTTGAGTGGCGCTGCAATTGCACGATTTGTTCGTCCCGTCACTTAGTAACTTAGAAAACATCTCTTTAAAAAAATGTTAAAAGTCAACCACTTATATCAAACGCTATTCAACAAAAATAACTCTTATCTACTAAGCTAGACAACGATGGGTGGTTTACGATACACACATACACGATGTATGTAGTAATGTTATTGTACAAATGATTTATAAGTTATTTAGACAGTTTTATACAGCATTTAAACGCCTACTACGCTGTTACGATCTCGTTCCGGCTTTATATTCAAAAGTATACCTATCTGATTTCGGTTGCCTACCTTACTAAGTTTTGCAACTAGTTTCGAAACAATTTTTATTATTTTTTGGTAACTGGTTACGGTAAAAGGAAAGTAGATACATATTTTTTAACTCATTCTGGTAAATTACACTGAATTCTTCGATTATGTTAGTACGACCTGGCCACACGTATAGAATGCGACGAGTCTGAAATGTTTTGTATCGAAGTAGAGCAGAAAGCCCGGGGATATTTGAATGGACTTCTACCTCATGCCTGTGTGTGTTATAAAGCTATTTAAATTATAGAGGTCTCGATTTAAAAGTGTCATCTGCAGTAATATATCGAATTTCCGATATATTTCTTTACTTCATGTGTCTTCAAAGCTGTAAACAATACAATACTAAGTACATTACTCGGCTAGACAAAGCGTACTTTTCGGGCTCTTTAATTCCTTGTTTCTCGAAAAGTCTTTTTATTTTAAATGCACCGAGCAAGTCTTTTAACAAATGCCGTAAATGTTTCAGTTTTTTTTTCGTATCGTTGTTACAGCTATACAGCAAACTCTATGTTACAATTAATTGTCTATTTCAAAATTCGGACGTGAGCAAAATTCTCTTACGACAAAAATCGAAGGTATTTCAACATTTATTGCGCATTAATATATTTGCAGCTAAAGCTAAAATATGTTTTTATACCATAATATTTTTTTGGTCGTATTTGCATTCTTCAAATAACATTGCTTTTTGCCTGTTTAAGTTGAAATGAAGTAATTGGAATTCCGATTTTAATATGTTCAGTTACTTTTTGTTACCGCATTCATCTACTGCTCCATAAAATCAGTCTAGTATTATTAAAAGGATGGACGTAGAAGGTAGAGTGAAATACGTTGATTTAAAGAGACATGATTATTGTTCAGTCTCCGGAATATAAGTGACAAAATAACACAATTTAAAATAAAGTGTAAACTTATTTGCTAACCAAGCAATACGCACCACACGTTGCAGTAAAACTATAAATATAGTATATCTATACTACATCAGCTAGGTATACGCATTTATATAACAAAGATTTATAGAGAAGGATATATATCGTTCTACTGAAATAGAACTGCTAAAGGGAATAAAAAATCTTCTTTCGAAACTAGTTAACAAAGTCAGTCACGAAAGCTGCCGAAACGAATATATTCAATATAAGAATTTGTGAAGAATATTGACACATAAGTACTTATATATACAGAGTGTAACCGTTAAGTGTGCCCAGGCGATTATTCCGTAAATATAAGAGATCTCAAAAGTCTTTAAACTGATATCGAAAGTACGTTACCTAATGAATAAGAGGATATTAATATTTTTTTTAAATGTAACTAGAAATCTCGAAAAACTTTTTTAAATGTAACTAGATATGTCCAAAATGTAGACGTTAATATATATACATGTACTATGACATTCGTAGCGAGGCTTTAATATCGAACAAATGTTTTGATTACAAAATTGTGTACTTATTTCAAAATACGAGTAGTAATAATACTATTAACGCACACAATGAACGTAGCCCCGCACAAGGAAAACCGTGTATCGCGGGTGCCATGGACACACATAGACAACCACAAATTACACCCAAACTCACGAGAGAAATAAATGTAGGGCATACAAATATTTCTCCCGGCCTGGGAATCGAACCTGGGACCTTTGCGTGGCAGTCCGGCATGGTAACCGTTTGGCCACTGAGGCAGTTAACATCAATTTAATTTTAGTTTTAATTTAATCAAAAGATCGTTTAATTATTTTATTCTGTAAACTTATTGTTACGTCTTAAAGCAGGTCAACCAACCCCTCTCTACAAAAGTAATGTTAAATGTATGTAAGCGTTTAGATTAAAAATTTTGGATATTTCTAGTTTCATTTAAAAAAAAGTTATTGATGTCGTTTTACTCATTTGGTAACGTAGTTTCGATAACAGTGTAAAGGTTTTTGAATATCTCTTATATTCACGGAAAAATCGCCTGGGCTCTTTTAACTACTGCGCCTTGTCTATCACTTTAGACCTTTTGTCTTAGTGGCGTAGAGTTGGGGATAATATTATATGATCTTCAAAGACATAATTGATCTATTTTAAATGTGACCTTTTTTAAATAAACGAATTTTTTTTTAAATGTTTGAAGTATATATTAACTGTCCGTCTATGTTAGTTGATCTACGGATAAATTATAAATGAACTGGATTCAATGTAACACTATCATTATGTTTAAATTAATATTTGAAAGTAAGAATAATATTTGATCCTCTTTTTCAATAGGTTAGGTTAGTATATGAAAAAGCAGCCAGAGACCAATTTGCTTGCATTTCCGAACATCAGGGTTCAACATCAGAGTTAACATCATTAATCAGAGTTAATTTATACAAATCAAACTTAGCTCAGAACAGATTTTTATCTTCTTTAATTTATTCTATATCTCACAAAAATAGGATCAATCATTAAAAAATATGACGGTTTAGGTTTTTTGCCTCCTGCTTCTGCATATTTAAAATGACTATTTAAATACGTGCCATAGATTGAAGTGAAATCTTAAGTACAATAAGCGATGAGAGTAAAACAATTAACCGTAAATAAAAACAAAAAAGAACGATGTGTAGACATATTGCGTTATTTTAAATACTAAACAGACATTATGATTCCAATGGTCAAAAAGATGTTACACAACGTTTATGACAAATTGTTTAAGCGATGTATACCTATAGCTACACCGGTTACTTTTTTTTGTTGTTTTGGCTTCTGTCCCACTGAGGACAATTCTGCCAGTGTCCGGGTCTATGATATAATGATATAACGGTCAACTTTTTAAAGCATTTCCTAAACAAACTGTACGTCAACGTCAAACTGACACAATTACGAATATCTTCTATGTGAGTATGTGAGTGCATTAAAATGTGTTATTTTAAGTGCATATGAGTTAAGTAGTAAAATTGGAAAATATTTACTGAATATTTCCAATTTCATCTCACCGTGCAATAGACATACACTTACTGGCAACATAATGTCCGCGTTTAAATAAAGTTTAAGTATATACGTAATCACTTTCGACAATTGCATAAATAGATGGAAAAGTCGATATTGTGAAAAAAATATTGATATTGTGAATTTGAGTAGGAGTAGAGTTCCTTGTGAAAGAGTTCTTTATTTTTCTTTTTTTTTATATAAAATCAAGTGACGGGACGAACAAGTCGTCGTTCGTCTAAGGAAGTACTGCCACCTTACCTATTTCCATCGCCAAGCAGTAATGTGATTGTGAGCATTACTGCGTTCCGGTTTTGAAGGACAAGGGTGCTGGTGAAATTACAGGCACATGGGACTTGTCAACTTATGTCTCAGGGTGACGGGCGCAGTGGCAGCACCTGTCAATTTTTTGTGTTTTAGGCACTGGCAGTTGTCATACGCCACGACTTGTTCGTCAAGTCACTTAATATCATAAAAAAAAGATCGAAGATGTCTTGTTTTTTCAAAACAATAGGTATGTTGGATCTTTCACAACAAATATAATAAAATAAATAATTAATAAAACTACGGTCACAAATCCTTTAGTAAGTTTCATCAGTCTCTCAGAATCTACGCAGTTTATGGAAGAAAATCATTTAAAATTTGTAGAAAACACTTACACCTTGCGCAGAAGACGATTTCCATTTAAAATTTATGGTACCGAAAATGGGCGGAACAATAGTGTTATGTTCGCATTTCACAGGCTCTTGGCCGGCATGAATGGCTCTTGTGCTAAAACCGCATTTTTCCCAAAACTTATCAGGCACCTGAATGATTAAACGACTTGGTCATAATTATTTTAGGAAGGGTAATTGGGTATTTTTCAGGTTAATTTTCGTTACTTATTTTCGATGTCAATTTTTATTATTATAAGTATATCGTGAAATATTAAGTAAAATTTCATACACTCGAATATGAAACAAAACTGTATGATAATATTCCAGAACATTTAAATAATAAAAATTGCCCCCGAAATTAGATAGAGACAACGTAACCTGAAAATTACCCAATTACATTTTGTGTAAGCACAGTGTATGTTTTTCGTGAAAAAGTTTACAAGTGCACATTTTCGATGTTGCATGGATGATGATGCTTTCAAAATGTGTACGTTAAAATAAAGTGCAATTTTAAAGATAAAGGGACATGATTTATGGTTACCGTAAGGCCATACTTACGTCAGTACACGAGCATGAAAAGTCTGGATTCAATACCGTTGATGGCGGCGCAGATACAGGAGCTACTGACTTCGACATTATTTTGTTACACCTAACGATATAAACCAGAGAAAGTACAAAAGACAAATACATACAATTTTTTTAAAATAATCGTTCCTTATTAAATAAACTTCGATTTTCTAGCCTTACTATACTCAAGTACGAACTTGTTCTATACATATATCCTGAAAACCGATAATCAATCGTGAGGAAAGTGCAATATACTTCCACACTGGATCAAAGAACTTAAATAATACTGACAACTAACTCATAATGTGTATACATAAACAAAATATGTTTTATTAATTAAGGAGTCACCACATTTATTAACGCGGAACCAGCTTAATGCGATCATGTTTAACCACACTTGTCGCATTAAGCCGAATTCCTATTGACGCGACTGTTCGCGCGCCGTCGAGGCCGTTCGCGAGCTTACAAAGCTTTCTGAGAATAATTATGTTTTGAAAACTAATGCTTCCTCACCCACCCCTGCTTATACATTTTCAACTCCCCTTCCGTGCACTTAATACAAAATATATGATCTTGAGTTTATTTTTTCAAACTTTCAACTTCGATTAAAACTCGAAACATCAAAAGTACTAAAGGCCTACCAATCGGGCTTTTACGCGGCCACTTGGGCGTTGATGCCATCCCTCAAATGTCGACGCGGCTTTTTGGGTGTTGACGCCGCCGCCGATCAGCTGTTGTCGGCTGCATATGGACGCGATCAGAATTTCGTAGGAACCAGATTTCATTGCCTTGAGTAGAGTTGTGCGAACCGATGCGAAACGCACAAAATCTTTTTCACTGTTACGTTCATGGAGATACAAGCTTTTTCTTAGCGGCTTGCGATGACGGAGTGCGATTCTGCTTTAATAAGTTTGATGACTCCCTTAATCTACTAATCAACAAATGTCGTTTGTCATGCGATTAAAATGTGTAAAAATTATATCCATTCCGTGCCAAACGTTTATTTACATTTTCTTAAACAAAATTGTACAAATACAATTATATAGAACAATAACTAGAAGTGCTGAAGCGCTTTGAAATTATCGCTTTAGAAATTTTAATGAACAGTTTACACCATTAATTATTAACCAATAAAAAAACCGATTAAGATATACACTTCCAAAAAATACAAATTCCAGAGTCATAGTCACAGGATAGTAAGGAGAGACTGTGACTTTTTAAATCAATTGCAATTTAGTTAACTAATTATCAAAAGTAAAATATTGTGATCAATCTTGCAACCTGGAGTAGGTTCATCACGTAATTTTGCAAAGATGTTCCCAGCCCGAATTTGGCCAGTGTGGTAGACTATGTCCAAATCTCTCCTCAGAGAAGAGTCGTGATACGAAGACAATATTTTTAATTATACACATACAAAACTTTACTTACTATTTTGTTTTCTTTAGATGGCCAAAGATGATGGTATTGACGTTGTACTTGATTTCAGTAAATGTTGAAACATTTAGTTAAGTGCTAGTTTCAGTTATAGACATCATTACATTATTGTTGCGAAGAAGGAAGACGGAGTGCCAGGAATTATAAAATTTTAAGTAAACAATTAAAAAATGTGTAAGCAATAGGGTCAATTTTCATTTAAATGAAGATATTTTTGTTAAAATATTATTTTAGTGTGTTTTCTTCGTATCGTATACGGTTAATTTTCATTTTATATTTTTTAATAGATACTACCAACATAATATAAGCAAATCTATTGTGTCAATTGTCAAAGATTAAAGTGATTTTTGTCCTCTTTATGGTCAATCTTTTGGTTTGTCACCTCTTTTTTCAGTTCGCCAACTAGAACAATCTATATTTCAAAACATAATTAAATAAGTAATAAAATTGTTTTATATGTATTATTATCTCTGCTATATTTATGCTATATTGTTTATTCATATTTCATTTTCCTCTCCTGATCCATTCTTCTCTCTCTCTCATTGTAGTCCTTAGAGGATGGAAAAAAAATAAAAGAAAGGAGCTGCCCTAACTACAGAATCAACGTGCATATTGTAAGTCAATGGCATAAAACCAAAATTTGAAAGTTACAAATGGCGGATTTCTTTAGTGTTGTATCATTATCTATCGATAAGTCATTATCGACATGCAAATGGCTTGAATGTTGAAACTGTTTTTTTTTTGTTTCTTTGGTTTACTGTAACCAAAGTACGAGTATGCCTAAACAAACACAAGTCTAATAATTTAATCTCGAGTGGTACATTATTATAAATGTCAACACACGTTTTTAAACTTTTTAAATTTTTTTTTCAAGATTACCACTGGTAACTTATTTAGTAAAAGTCACCAAACTGCTGTGTAGTTTGTTGGCGACATGCGCATTCTTACTTAATTATACCTACTTTACTGGTATATAACATTACATAGCATTAATTGTACTTACTAAATAAAATATAAAAATTACTTTAAGAGGTACGCCTCTAACCTATATTTTGGTACATATTTACATATCGTCTTTTAACTAACTGTCAAGTACAAGTCTATTCAGGTTTCTACGGATTCTAGTATTCACGTTACTGGCTTTCTTAAACAAATCAATCTATCAAGTAATTTTAACTGGTAACTTATTTAGTAACAGTCACTAAACTGTTGTGCAGTTTATTGGCGACATGCGCACTCTTACTATTTTTTAACGCACACACTCAACATTGCCCTACCTTATACCTACTTTACTGGTATATAATATTACATAGTATTAATTGTATTTAGTAAATAAAATATATAAATTACTTTAAGAGGTACGCCTTTAACCTATATTTTAGTACATATTTACGTAACGTCTTTTAGCTAACTGTCAAATACAAGTCTATGCAGGTTTCTACGGATTCTAGTATTCCCATTAATTCCCGGGCTTTCTTAAGCAAATGAAATCTACCAAGCAATTTTAACACAGAAATAATGGAAGTAGTTGCAAAACTCTATTATCGGAAATCAACAATTATCATGTACTAGCTTTTTCCCGACTTCATCCGCGTACAATTTTTATACAAATGAAAAATATTCAAGTATGAAGCAAATCACACCACGCGTTAATAAGTTACCATACAAACTTTATTACCCCATTTCGCCGCATTTTTGAAAAAACTGTCAAGCCATTTTTTTAACAATTTTAATTGTAAAATATATATGCAAAGTTTCGTCTTTGTAATTTCAAGGAATATTATTTTTCATGCAAACGTTTTTATCCGTTTTCGCCCTCTTAGGGGATGAATTTTGAAAAATCCGTTCATAGTACTCCTTCACTAAATAAAATTAACATACCCTCAAGTTATCATGTTCTAGTACTTACAGTTTTTGCTATGCGTCCATCTACCAGTGAATTGCTCCGGACCGTACTCCTTTAAATATGTAAATAGATTTACAAAAACCAAATTATTTAAAAAAATAAGAACCCGACTGCAAAAAAGATAACTGAAAAGAGATAAACATATGACACTCCAACCAATCAAGACGAATCTAACGACACGTCATATATCAAAATCCATTATGCCATTTAGGCTGTGCAGCGTGAAAAAGAAATGAACAAACATACACTCAAAAAAAATAACCCACCTTCTGACGCAGTCGGGTAAAAAATACTAAAATTATTCATGACGGAATAAAATAATTTTATTTAAATAATTTCGGAGTGATAAATTTTCAATATTTTTTTTTCCAAATCTTTTGGGCCTGAACATTCTTCAAAAAATGTAACTTGTTCAGCATTTATTAAGTTCCGCTCTTTGAGCTGGGACATGACTTTTTCCATATTGGCAATTTTTATTTTCTGCCGTCTGATTTTTTCTTTTAAAGTTTTAATTTTACTCCGCTGATTCTCATATTTCTTTTTCAATCCTCTAACAATTTTGCCCTAGAATTTAAATTTTCAAATTTATTTAAATTCAAATTTATTTATTTAAATCAGAATTCAAATTTATTTAAATGTAAAAATAATACCTATTATATTATTAATTTAGTCTGTTATAAAAAATAGATGCCAATTTAAAATTACTACTCCTAAGATTATTGATTTATATACATCTCAAATTAATCACAGGTAGATTCAGTAACAGCATTTGTTGTTGCTTATTCTGCACTTGATTTAACATTCTAGAAGTACCATGTACAATTGGCTGAAACAAGTAAGCATCTTAAAAAACACTGTCTAAGTGTATTAGAAATTGTTATGCTTGATTGTCACTCACCTGGGTAAAAGCATTTGTTGTCTGCATATTCTGCACTTGAGTTAATATTACAGATGTATTTGGCTGTACAGTTGGCTGTAGAGTAAACAAGTAAGCCTACAAATACATATTGGTCGAGCCTAGGTCAATGCGAGCGCAGGCAAATTAATACACAGCTAGTACTACCGTCTACACGTTCAACAAAAAAGTTTGAAAAAGTTTGAAAGTTGCGTTTGAAAAAATCCATACAAACAACAATTGCACAAGAATTTTGTGTAGCTGCCCACACGTTGGTCTCAAAATGAAGCGAACAAATGTAGTTAGATGGTCTTTGATCCAACGTTTATATTCGGCAGTCCTATGATTTCCAACCATTCTTTCTTCCTTTTTTCATTTGTAGGAAAGCTTGAAAGAATAAAAATAATAATAATAAAACAATAAAAACCTCGTAGTGAACTGTTTTAATAACAGAATATCGATAATTTGTATGCTTACAAGATCAACACTATCTCAAAACAATCGTTAATAACAATCATCAAAATATACAAACAAACAGGCAATCTAAAGTACCAAAAGCAAAATTTGGCAAGATTTATAAATAAACTACTTAAATAAGTCTAATTACATGAAATATTTGGGCTATTGTGTGATTTATAGACAAAAAAATAACACATGTCTGTGCATTCGTGTAACATTCGATTGATTTGCACTTTTTCTAAAGCCACATCCCCTAATGCTGTATTTTTTTAGGTTAGACATTATTGTTTCTACTTATATCAAAAAGGACAAGTGAAAGTCTAATCTAAGTCTATCACTCAACTTTTTAAAAGATTGACCTCATCTACTTTACGATGTAATGTTGATGTTTAAACTTTGACGATCTTTTCGTTTCACTTAACATAAGAAAACATTGGGTACTTTTTTTTAGAACGACATATGTTTTCTTTCGCAACTCAGATTTTATGGTCAATATCGTGTAAAAAATTTGACAACATGACACTTTAGCTTATATATTATGTTATCTATTAAGAAATCACTATACAGGGGGCTTACTACGTCTTAGGGCGCCTTCATATTAGACGTTTGTAGAAGCTCTGCTGTGGCGCGTCTGTGGGGCTGTAACAGCGCCATCGCCACTACTAATTTTCATAACTAATCTGCAAAAGTGCCACGCGTGTAACGGTCTGTGGCGCGGTAGTCGCGGTTTCCACAGCGGCGCCACTGAAGCCCGTCCATAAGCGTCTAATTTGAGACACCCTTAAAACTTGATACTACCTCTGAGCGAATTAAAATTTTTCCCGTACTAAATAGGTTCTATGAAGCTGGTCGAGCGGCAAGACACTGGCTTTATTTCAGAATTTATTTTTTCACAAACAAATTTAAAGCCATTTGAAAAATGTGTATTGTATTCTATTACGTATTCTATTCAGTTCAGTTGATATTAAAAAAAACGGTATATGTAAAGTACCTATTGAATACAGCGGTTTTGTGGTATAATTTCCAGGTAAGTTTGTGTTTTTTTCTATCGTGAAAATTTTTAGGAATCATGTTCTTATACCGTATGCTAATCAGTGTATATTCTCAATTTTACTAAATTTTTTTTTTTCTAAAATGATTGATTCTTCATTTTCACTGTTATACGTATACTTTAACTATACATTGAGTTTTCATACCATGACGCGCTTAACGTAAGCTTATTATAATGTTAAAACTACGTTGCTTTATAGGCAGCTTTGTGACTATTCCTTAGAATGTTTACTTAGTATTTCAAGAAAATCGTTTTACTTTAAAAGAAAAGCTGTATATGTATACCTATATATGTGACTTAGAGAAGCAAATTATATATAATCCAGCCAAGTTTGTTTGTTAAGATCTGTTCAGTACGTTTTTACGTGACGCCTGAATAAATAGACAGAAAGCAAATTTTCTTATGAGTGCCTAAAATAACTCTTCTCAAAATATCTACAATGTATGGAATTAATAAAGCTAGATTTATGAAATATATGTTACTACGGTCTAGACAGACATTTCTCTCTAGTTACATATACTCGTAGCTTTAGTACTGATTTAAACAAAGACATTTCTATGAGAAAATCGATTATCGGAAACATTTGCTCCAATAGAAACAAAAGGCGACATTGTGTATTGCTATTGCGCTTCGCCACTGATTTGATTTTGTTAATTAAAATAACATGGACATAACACCCAGTACAGTAAAATGTACTGAGATTTTACAATTATCATTCATTCAAGAGCAGCTTAATTGTATGATTTTTAAAATCAAATAATAATTGTTATCTAGAACATTCATTTTTATATGTAGGTACATTTTAAACGTTCGTAATGAAATTCCTATATTTTAAATTAAAATTATCCATTCCGTTGCACTTGTTTGTATTTAGATTTTATTTATTTATGCATCAAACATTTGTTTATTATGTAAAATATATCTAAGAACAGTGGAATTACTCGTCTGTTGCTAATATAAATGAAATTTGAAATTATAACTAGAAATACAACCCCACAGGTATGATGATCTAAATTTTGAATTTCGATCAGTGACCTAAGATAATTGAGGTCAAAGATTATGTCTCAAAAATGTCTGTATGTCTCTACTTCTTTTTGCTTATTGGCGGTGCTCTTTTTGGTTTTCGCCAGTATCGAGCTTTCCGCTTAGTAATTTTAGAGGCTTCTGCAGGTTTTACTATTCAACGAGTATTGTGGCTATACAATATAAGAAAGTACAAGCTTTTGTATTCGATTTTGATGTGTCAGAACTGTTGTGTTATCTAAAAGAACATGTACAAAATATATAGGCAATCATATTTACATTTTACATTCGTATGTTTTGGTTTGATTTTAAAGACGTTCCGCAATAAAATAGACTAAAACAAACTGTTCACTATTTGTAGATGACGTGTAGATATAAAACAAACGTGAAACTTTAAAACAGTTTATTAAAGTGTACAAAATAAATGAATGTGATCATTATAAAAGTGGTGTAAGTCCATATTTTAAAACACATATTTTTTTGCTTGAAAGTATCACATTTAGTCATATATTTCATTATAAAAGTAAACTCCAATAATTGCACTAACATCGCATAGACGGCAGTACTAAGAACTAAAATTACTACACATTAATTTGCTAAAAGCTCATTATATCAAAATTTAATTACAAGGACGTAATTCGCTTTTACAATTAACGACAAACATAATATTTAAAGGTTTCAGAAAAAATATTTATATAATGAATACCACCTGTATTCAGTTAAAATTATAGTATGGGTTATCTATTATTAAGCTGGATGTACGTAATCAGTATACAAACAATTCTTGCAACGACCAATCTATACTTCCGGTATTCGAGCAGGATACCGTCCAGGGATGTAATCGGGATTGTTCGGGTTGTACTCCCAGATGAGATATTCAGGTTCATTGAGATACAAGGGCGGAATATCATCACTCGGTTCCCTATCTTGCCCGAGCAAATCGTGATTGCGCTTCAATAATTCGTCAACCTTGGCTTTAGTTTCGTCCGAAATGTCTAGAGAAGAAAACAAGATTACATGAGGCCACGAGCTTATACATCAGGAGGACGCCTCTCACTACGGTTAGGCATCAGAGGTCCCCACTAAAGACTTGTCGACATTCCCTTCAGGCGTACTAAGCGCCCAAAAATGGAATTCCCTGACTGGACTGTGTTTCCGAACACATAATTCGCAAAGGTTGCAGTCGCTCACCATATGGTACTGGCAGAAAACCAGCTGTTTGACTTTTCACGGTCTACAGTATTTATATTGAGTCAGGGCCATTTCAGCACAAACTGTAGTCATACATAAAATTTTGTTAACAGAGTATTTGCTTGTTTGTTGCTCTCAACGTATTTATTTTTATCACAGTATATGTTTTATATAAATATGTATTAAATTAATAATGTATGTAATATTGAAAGTGGACCGATCGGGAAAGTAGACGAAATAGGGAATAGACGAATCGGGAAAGTGGACCATTTGGACAAGCGGACCGATCGGGACAGTAGACGAATAGTGAAAGTGAACGGATCGGGAAAGTAGACAGATTGTACCAAAGTGGGATGTTCTATGTGTGTGTTATACTTTAGAAGTGATTGTAAATGTTTTGTGTCTGTTTGTATTTGTGCTGATTACACCTGTATCTATCTATCTATACAACCTGAGTATCTTTAAGGTGCGACCAAATAGGCATCGTCTGAGCGAGTTCGTTCGTTCCTATGTAGACCATATTAGAGCTAGGTAGTGGTCAAGAGCAAGTCCTTTACTTAAATAAAGATAAAAGTAAATAGTGCTTTTCACACATTTCAACATTTAAACTTACGTGTTCTTCGCAGATCAATAGTTTGAATGTTTCTGTTCAAAGTTAATGCGTTGATAAGTGTGGTCTCGGCTTCACCGGACAAGTCATTAGCTGCGATTTCAAATTTAAGCAAGCCTCGATTTAGACACAAGAGACCCGCCATCTAAAAGCAAGCAAAATAATTGGACATACCTAATGCATGTACGTCATTCATTACAATTTGTGTCATAGATAAAATGGTTTAGCTTGATAAGGATGACGTTAGGGGTTCGCCAGGATATAATAGATAAGATTGTGATTATCCGATTTAGGTGATATACATATCTCTGATACTCTGCACCTGTCTGATTGATATAAATACTTATATCACAAAGCGATAAGGTACCTTAAAGATATTGACGTTATCCGGTTTGGTATAAAATCATGTTGGTTATACACATTAATACAAAAATTTATCAAACCTTTTCGGCTGACTTCCCTGAGAAGCCGCAAGAGTTTACAATTAAGGTTTGTGGTTTTTCTTTGCATCGGACAAATGCTGCAGCGAACATAGTCGCACAGTTTAGCGACATTGGGTTTAGACTGAAATCTGAAAACTTAATTATGTTACTATTGTTATTTATTTTTAAACAGTAATTTCATACTAGAGTAAAACTATTAACTAATGAATAAACTCGCCAGCCACTTGTTTATACTCAATAACACTTATTCGTATCTCCACCGTGACTCCTTTTGTTTACACATGGTCTTACCTATAAGCTCGATAGGTGCAGCTGGTTTCATTTGTAAAGCATATGCGATACCTTGTACTCCCTCGTCTTTAAATCGATTATTTGCTATTCTCACCCTTTTTAAATTTTTGTGTATGAAAATAAAGCCACCCAATGCTTTCATACCATAATCGCCAATTTTACAGTGGTTGAAGTCGAGTTCTTCTATAGTTTCTTTCTTTACTAGATTTTCTAAAATCATTTTTACTTTAGAACAGTCTAAGTTGCTGCGATTGATGCGAAATGTTTTTAAATGTCGCAAGTTCTCGAGTCCCTTACATAGAGATTCAATGTCTGCCAGGGAGAATTCGAAATATCGTGGTAAATATTTCTCATTAAGGCCATTGATACCAAAAACTAAAGTTATCTCTTCGAGATTATACAATCTGACAAGCACTGGCTCTAGTGGGATATGGTCGTAGACTTTAGGAACGCTGTAGGTGCAATAGTCTTCGACAACGTAATCATTCGGGTAAGGAGGAGTCGGCTGTCGGCACATTTGCAACTGATTTAGTCTTAATTCGTAAATATACGGTGCCACCTGGAATGAAACATTAAGGGTTACACTTTGTTCTCTCAATCGTATGATTGAGAGAAAAAAATGTGTTTGTAAACGATTGTATAATCGAGAGATGAAAAATGCAAACTTTTAAAAATGCCATGTTAATGTTACCAAATGAGCTAGATCTCCAGCTTCATCTTGTAAGAAAACGTCAGGATTAGCGTTTTCTAAATAATCCCGCAAGCAGGCAGACAAATACTTTCCTTTCCAAAATTTAACGTTAAGTTCATTTTGTCTTGGAAATATTTCCTCGCAACATCTTTGCCAATATCGTTCATCCTGAAATTTTCGTGATTAAATTAAATTTCATTAAACTACAGATTCGTTGATATAAATTAATATTATTTTAATTATAGCATAAGTGATCACGTGTACCTTTATTAGTGGTACACTAAATTTAAGTGGTATAGATGAAGGATACAAATCCATGAGTATGTCAACATCTTTCTGCAAGATTACGTGCAGGGGATTGATTCGGTGGAATATGATAGCTAGAGCACTAGCAGCCAAGAAGGTGAGCGGTGCAGGAGTAATCTCATCATCCCATTCGAAATTTTCAGGCACTGTCTTGCGGTTGATCTCGCCAACAGAATTTAACATGACAGGCGAGGTGGCATAAGCCTTCCTCGTATTATAAGGTACTACATACGGAATCTTCATTTTGATATTTTAGTTCTTGAAAATGTATACACAACTTATTATCACCCTTTTAGATAATAAAATTATCGTTGCGTAGGCACCAACTACTAACAATAAAAATACTAGAGTTTTTTTCTATCGCTCCAAGTTTATATGGAATTAATTAGTATTTTCTTAATGACGGCCACTAGGCTTGTGCCAGTGTTAGTTTTATAAGAATAATATAAAAATTATGGCGATCATCGCCAGCGTCTCGGGTATTGGAGTTTGACATTTGATTGAATTATTTAATTTTGATGTTACAATTTGACATTGATGTAGCTTGAAGCCAAAAAAAGAGACAATCCACAAAATATGTCACTGGCTGAAACCATATCGATTAGCGTTTAGAACGCTATTCGCCAACAGTGTGATGCACCGCAGCGAGTTTCAAGTGAGTTCGATGACCGAGATGAGTCATCGTGAAGTCAGAAAGTGGGCAAATCGCATACTCTGATTAACTGCTAACAATAACACTCCAGTCCAATGACTACTACCATAAATATACACTACTAATCCCTTGATCACAATGCACGCAATCTAGATGATACCAAGAGACAGGACGAACAAGTCGTGCGCCTGCGTGCTGATTTTGATTCAAACTGGAATCGAACCGATCGGGTAGTCTCGAAATCAAATGGGTTTCTGAGCGAGAAGATGAACCTGATTCCTACTATATCTATCTAGTTTGTGAGTTAAATCAACTATTGTTCTGATTTCAAATGTCAAAAGTTTCCGATCGGCCAGTTGTGCATCGCAATTATGCGCCTAGACTCGGAAGAGACGCTGTTTCCGATCGGGAGAGGCAATCAAAAACAAGCTGCTAGTGTTAAGTGTCACTTCTATCCATAGCCGTTGCAGTGCCACTCAAAAGATCAAAGAAGGATACTGCCACTGCGCTCGTGACCCTCAGATATAAGATGACAAGTCACATGTGCCTGTAATGTCGCCAGCATCTTTCCCTTCAAAACCAGAACGCGGTAGTGGTAACAGTACTGCTCGGCGGCAGAAATAATGAAGGTGGCAGTACTTCCCTGGATTAACTCTTTCACAAGGAGCTGAACTACTGCTACTAAAAATTGCATACTCAACAACAAAAAGAAACCTTAATGTCTATAATAGTAAAATTATTGTGAGTGGTAGTAACCTTGAATATTAAGTAAAAGATCCCAAAATATTAACAAACATTAAAATATACAATAAATTAAAATATATTTCTTACTAAAATTACTAATGATTTTATTTTTAAACATACACGGTGCAAAAGAATCAGTGGGATATGAAGAAAAACTACCATAGATGGTTACTGCATAAAGGAAACATTCTTCTACGTTTCTTAATATGAATAACTGTATTCACAGATTATTTTAAAAGCTTACCTGAGCCGTGTTTCCTTTATGTCACACAGATGTTTTCACCTGTATAAAATTTTAGGGTCTTAATCATGTGGTCATGGGTCTAGAAGAAAGGAAGGAAGCATGCTGCCATAATATTTCACCGACTGTGCCGAAATATTTAAATAAAATTTAAAAAATGGGTAAAATTACCAAAATAATGTAAAAAATCCTATTTCTCTATGATCTAAATCGTATCCTTGAAACGATTATAATTAATTTGTCGCACTTTCATTTTAATTTAAAAAAGACATAAATTCTGTGTAATACGAAACTTCAAATAATCCGTCGAATAGTTAGTCCACAATTGAATATTTTCTTGAATATTTTGTCTAGAAGTATGCGTGAAAGAGTCAATAATAAACACAAATATAAAAGTATTCTTTTTTTAACGACCCTATGCAAAGTTCTAGTAATGTAACAGATACAGACAGGATCAGTGAATAATTTATTCAATGAATACTTTAAAAAATAATTTATGAACGTCACTGCTCTAAACTAGGATTATGATGTATATCGTAATATCAATTAGATTATCAAAAACATTCTTTAAAATATTTATTTTTAAACACTCAACACTCGAGTAGATGAAAACGATCGTGTTGGTAAAAATTTTTATGACCCAAATCCACTTTCGCAAATTTATGCCACTCGAATAGACGATAATTTTTTGGTATAAAGTAATAATAACAAATACATTCTGCATTGGTTTGACTCAGAGTTCAACATAGATACCACTGCTTTACCACGATTCAAAAGGAATCTATAATAAATCATCACGTTTAACTAGAACTCTTGAAGATATTAATATGTTTTAATTTTCATTATCATATTTCAGAGCTTTAAGTGCTAAGTGTTGTCCTAACTAGGAAATGGACTTCGGAATTCCGGTATTTTCGTAACTACGGAATCTCGGAATGTTTATAAAGAAAGAATGAAACAATGATCTTATATTATTTTCTTTTTTTTACTTTAAAATTTAAAAAGTCAAACACAAAAGAAAAAACGAAACAAGAGAAAAAGTAAAAAAAATAAAATAAAGACATGTAATCAAAACATTCAATCGTAAGACATAAATAAATAATTATAAAACAAATCACAAACAAAACAAAAAATAAAGATAAAATTGAAACACATAACAACAAACAGGGACACTAGCTTAATCTTTGTACATATTTTGTGTTGTGTACAGCAGCACATAAAAGAGTCACTAACTCCGTATTGCTGGAGAACGCAATGAGTTCTCAGCAGTGATTTTCCGTTAGGATCCTAAGTGAAGTCACAGAACAACATACGCAAGATTCCTTACTTCAATATGATAATATTTCATTTACTTTGTATGTTATTGGCCGAGCAAGTACGGTATATGTGTACGGTACATTAAGTTATTAGTACGATCGCGATAAGAAGTTTAAAATACTTGTAAACTTTCATAGTAGCAAAAGCTATTCCAAAAGTATATGAATACCATACCTAAATATTATATTACTTGTGCGGATGCTAATCGCAATCACTATTACCTTTGTTATATATTTTGATACATTATATTTCAAGGAAAATGTAAAAATAGTTTAGACAACATTCACTTACTAAGTGCAATGACTTTTTCGAAATGTAATGGTTTAATTTGCTCTTGTACTTTATTGCTTTTGAATGTACTTCGAGAAATTCAACGAGATACTTGAAAGTAAACGTTAATTAGTAGCTCGAGCATCACTAACCCTAAGTTTGCCTTCTCTTTCGTCTCTTGTAGGTGTATTTCTAGGGAAATACCTTCTCTCGATTTTTTAGAGTGATAGTTTTGCTCCTGTAGCTTTTTGGAATTTGTATAAAGGTGCAAAGTTACAGGCGTACTTAAATAAATAGTAATTTTGATTGTCAGTCGTGGTTTTTTGATGTCGGACACAAATTTTTTTGTGATACCAAGTGTCGGGACGAACAAGTCGTGTGGCTGGTGTTAAGCGATACGCTTGGCCATAGCATTTGCAGTGCCACTTAGAACTTTAAATCACAAAGATCTAAGGAGCATTGCCACTGCGCCCGTCACCCTAAAACATAATTTAACAAGTCCCATGTGCCTGTAATTTCACCAGCACCTTTGCCTTTCGAAATCCGAACGCAGTAATGCTCATATTACGGCTTGGCAGTAGAAGTAGGTAAGGTAGCAGTACTTCCCTCGACGAACTCTTTCATATGGAGCTCTACTGCTAATAACAAATAAATAACTGACTCCATGGCCGAACGGTTATCATGCTGGACTGCCACGCAGAGGTCCCAGGTTCGATTCCCGGGCCAAGACAAATATTTGTATGGCCTACATTCATTTCTGTCGTGACTTTGGTGTAATTTGTGGTTGTCTATGTATGTATCAATGGCAACCGCGATACAGTGTTTTCCTAGTGCGGGGCTAAAAAAACACGCAATCTTTTGTAAAGCCGTGTTTGGTATGAAATATACTTCTGTAATATCTTTACTAGATCGTTACGCACTCAATGAGTAAAACCAAAGCCACATAAAGTTTTCAAATTTGGTGTTTTTCGCACATCTGTGTCAATAAGTAAGTACCTCAAATAGCTGAGGTTTATATTCTTTACGGATATGTGCAGAAATGGCCTGTATAGTAATAATACTTTATCTAAAGAGTATTACATCCAAGAGCGAGTGGGTTGTAAAAATCTTTTGTGACGAGCCTCAAGGAATGCGTCTCTGTGATATGAACTTGTTTTTTTTTTATTAAACAAAATAAGTGCGCATTTGACCTCCATCTCACCAAAAGTGACGATGGAGCATGCACACCTAAATAATGCCTATTAACTCTCGCCTTGAAAAGGCCCATGTTATACAGTTCAGGGAACAAGTCTGCAGGCAGGGTGTTCCACTCCATAACCTGTCGCCATATAAATGTGGAAACGAAACGCGTCGTGCAAATTCTTCGAATGTCCACAGCATATAGATGGAGCCCTAGCCGACGTCTAGTCCTCTGTGATATAAACCTGTAGAATCATCAGCTTAAAGCTTCAGTCTTCAAGCTGAACTTATGAGTACCTTATGACTAGCTTACGACTGCTGAATCTACTTTTATTTCAAAAAATTGTAAACAGTTTACTAGATCCAGTTTTTTTTCACTAATTCTAGAAATTACTTTGAATTACAAGATCCTGTAAGCTGTTCGTTGAACCCTACCCTACTTAAGTTCCTCTGTTTCATATGTTTTCGTACAATTCATATTTTGTTTTAAATTAATATGAGTTACAGTATCGTGGGGTCAACCAATTAGTTTTAAGTTCAGATAAATAAATATAGAAGCTTTAATAATAAAAATAATAGAAGCTCAACTTATTAACAAGAGTTCTTTATAATATATTATCTTGTTTGATTGGTGGGTACAAATTTTATATTTTATTTTGCCAATTACGGACTTCATTTCAGATTTTTTTCCGTACTACATACCATTGTTCTAAAGATCAGGATACGTCGCCCTACACGCGCAGATGTCAATTTTACATAGAAAACTCGCCACACTCAGTGTGGGACGGTTGTGAGCTTTGTAACTTTTAATTACATTTCTGAGCGACAGAGCGGTAATAAGTGTAAAGAATAAATCCTGAGATCTGTACTCTACCATGAGTTTACAGCGACAATTGTTGCTAGCAAACGCGGAATATGTATACAATATATTAGTTCTTCTTGTGACCGCTAGGGGCGCTATACAATGTACCAAAAAAAATAATCAAAAATGTCTAACAGCGATAATTATCTATCACTAAAACTCATGGTAGAGATACTGCTATCAGGGCTCGTTATGGCAATGACAGTTGTTGTTCCATCTTCTTTGTTCCGAGATCAAAGTCTACAAAATGTAAATATTATGGGTTCGGGTAAGTCCGTGGCGACTCGCGACCGTTCGTGCGTCCACGAATCGTATCTGTTTAGGTTACTTCGGCGCTTGCGGTAGTGCTGTCATAATTATTTGTTTTGCCACCCGGCGAGAGGCGTACGCCACATTTTAAGTAAAAATAAATAAAAGGAATTAATGTTTTAACATATTTGTTGAAAAATAATGGATTCTGCCAATAAGAACCATGATAAAAATCAAAATTCGTCCCAGTACGTAAGCTACAACCCGTGGAATTTATTTTTTAACCAGAGGAAGCGCACCGAAAGTGAGACCAGTGTTACATCCACAGGGTCTCAAAACAATAGTAAGTCAAAATTTGTTTACAATAATTATTAGTTGAAATTCCGTGTCTAGTTTAAAGTATGACATTTTAAGTTATTATATTTTTTACATAATTATGAAAGCAATGCAAAATTATTTCGTTTCTGTCATACTTTTATTTATTTTGTATGTATAAGTGTTCAAACATGGAAATGCAATAAACCACGTGTCTGATGAATATTTTGAACAAATAGAAGTGAAAAGTATTTATAAACTGTAAATAGTACTTTTTAAATCATATCGATGCAATATTTGCAATGCTTTATTAAGTGGAAGCATTCCCACTAATTAATTAAGATATGTAAAATATATTAGGTATTCTTTATTGTCAAAGCAGTATAAAATCTAAACACTTCAAAATCAATCAAATATAAGTTACGCGTTTGTATACAAACATAATAATAGTCAGTTCCACCAAGGTGACCGTCTGTACAGTAGAGAATGTAAACCTGTTCAAAAAGTGGTTAGCACTGAGTCGGACACAGATCCTGTAGTATTTCGTCAAATTCAAACTCAAAAGTTAAATACATAATTAAAATCAGACTACACTTACGTTTTAAACGCTGTGTTTGAATTTAAACAATTGGTAGAGTTGTTCAAACATCCTACTTCGAATACAAAACATAATTTACGTGATATAACGCGGTCTGATAGCGCGACTTTTACCTTGTGGATTTTAAATAGACGGGGAAAATGGGTAAGACATTGAAAATCCTTTGGAATTGTAAGAAATGTAGTTTACAGATAATTTAAGAAGTAAAACAAAACGTTAAAAGGAATACTATTAAAAAAATTAATAAAAAAAGGAAAATCAAAAGAATACGTGCAAGAATACAATAAACTATATCAAAAAGTATGTACTGCTGCTGCTCGCGTACACGATAGATTACCATGCTGGTCTGAAACGCAGAAGTTCCGAGTTCGAACCTCGGGTCGGGGGAAACATTTGTATGGCCAACATTTACGTCTCTCCAGAGTTTGGATGTAATTTGTGGTTGTATATATGTGTGTCCATGGCATCTGCAATAAAGGGTTTCCCTAGTGTGGGACTATAAGTGTGTGCGTTATTATCACCTGGCGAAGTTGCAAACTGTTTTTATTCCAGATTTGTAATCGTATTTGTACAATGCTCTTATTCCCAGGCACTCAATACGACGCTCTACGAAGGCAGCCCAGCAAAAACGAGGAATACTTATGGATGATGTAAGTTTATATATATGAATATATACTAATCTCATTGAAATTTTTGAGCTTAAGTTCTTTCTTCTTACTATTTAACCCATTCAAGGATTGTACCACACGCATAATTGTCACTAACTTGTTTGCGTCGTAATGCTTATAGATATTGATTCGGTATAAAATATTTAAAGTAAATCAATGTGTCTCTACGTTGTTGATAATTCTCTATAGAGAAGCAGAAAGCACACAGAAAACACTAGGAAATAGCACTGCTCGTAGTTGGTTTTTTGAGACCTAGATAGCTAAACGCGGTCCCCGTATTCTGATATTTAAAGACCGTTACTATTTATGAACGGGTTAAGAACGTTAGTTTTGTCAAAGCTCTCCATCTTATTTTTATAGTTTTTGTATTTTGTATTTATTTATTGTCACAATGTACATAGACAGGTGTTACAAATGTGTTACATTATGACTAGAATGTAGTACATGACCCAGAATAGGGCACTTCAAGTCAATATATTGAATACAATATAAGAAAATTAATGAAACAACATAAAAAGTAAAACTTTTAGAATAGGAGTTGAGAGGCGTAAACAAAAGATGTTAAAATATAAAAATTGATGTCAAAATAAATTCTAAAACTAAAGCAAAAAACGTCATGGAGAAGGTCGAGAGAATATACTAATTAATATTATGAATTTGTCAGAAATTACATGTATATAAACTCATCATCAATAAATTATTAAGTATTTATAATTTGATTCATCGAGTTCATTTGGAGTGTAATTGTTGAAATATTTTTACATTATTTATATATTTATTTATTTATGTACTCTTCAATTTTATAGTAGCTTTTATTCGTTAAATATTTTCTTTAATTTTTAAAGAATAAGTTATCATATGCTTCTTTTTTTATGTCAGGCGATATTTTATTGTATATTTTTTTTAGTTAAGAGTTAGACGGTCAAGACGATGAAAAAGGTAAACGAATACCTAAATATTTACCAAACTATAGAAATCGTTACTATTTATATCGTTAATATGTTGACGGATATAGGATTAGGAGACTAATCTCCCGTGTATGTATTTACGCTGACTCTCTTAACCCGGAACACAGTGAAACAGCTTTGAACAAAACAAAAAAAAAACAAAATCTGTCACCTATGAAAATTCTCTTATAAAGCTGTATTATAAATAATTCTAGATCCTTACCAAATGTGATTTATAAAAACCACAACACAAGACATATAAAGACTGCAAACATAAAGACGTTCAGAAACAAAGTTCAAGATCAACGAATCTTTATCCTTCTCCAAAAATAGCCCAGCGCTTGGTCAATAAAAAGTTGTATAAAACATTGACGATGCGTCTAAAGAAGTGACGTCACTTGACTGAAGCTTCTTTGTTTTGATGTCACTGTACAAAATACCTATAATCTGTTTATCGTCATTAATATTATCGAAATATGAAGCGTATTGCAGGCATTGGTAGAAAATTGCTAATCAATTTGAAATGATAGATTTCACTTTACGTATTGTTTGCATTTCGTCATTGTATTTACATGCATACATTGTGGATTTGTCGTTTGATTGGATATTAACGCGAAATACCCATTTACATGTAGTAGATACACACTTTAAAATACAAACACAGATAAATTGTATTTGTAAGTATAAAAATCCACACACGAACTTACATTACTTACACAATGACATGGGCAAATGCAGTCTTAGTAGCAATTCAAAATTAATCCGAAAGTGTTTGGTATGTATTGAAAACTACTATTATCAGAATGCCTTGTAGTCATGTTCACGACAAAAAAGTTAGAAAGCAAAATGAGTCAAGATATTACAACGTCTTATAAACCGTAACGGACCTAATTACTTTATCACAACCTATTTTTTTACATTCAATATTAGAAAATAGTTCAATTTCAAAATTACAGCAATTATAAAATAGCTATAAAATTTGTTGTACGTTTGTATTTGTTTTGGTGAAATTACAGGCACATTAGACTTGTCAATTGATGTATGAGAGTGACAAGCGCAGTGGCAGTCTCCCACAGATCTTTGCGATTTATAACTGTAAGTGGTACTGCAACTGCTATGGACAGGCGTGTCGCTTGACACCAGCCTCACGATTTGTTCGACTTGTCACTAAGTATCATAAAAAAATATTATACTACTATTATAAGTACGTATATATACGCACAATTTAACAGTTTACTCAGAAATAAGGAAAAGACACAACAAATTCTCTGTTTTAGCGAAATACAAGATCAATACATACATGCTTTTTGTTTACAATTAAACAGATATAGAAAAATAAACGTAGTAGATGTTACTAAGTATATCGATGTGCGAATGATGTCTTAATTTTTAACTCCGGTCTGTGTCTGTATTTTAGTTGTATACCATAGGGGTATTTTTGCTAAAATGGTATTTTGTTGTAGTGTCTTTGTCATTTTTATCGCAACATATACGAATAAACTTTCATTAAACTTAAACATAATATACATAACATTTTTTTAATATTTGTTTATTTAGGGGCTATGATCGTTATTGAACATGTCAGCCCTATTATATATTAAAAACAGTACCTCAAAAAATTATTCACTATGTCACTTCCGTGTACTTAGGTCTTCGTTTAGGTTATTATTAGACAACGGAAATGAAAGATTTTTTTAAGATCTAAATTGCGTGCATTACTTTTTTCAAACAAACCAACGTTCCGGGCCCTTTACAAGTTCTTTGGTCACGGCTGACTGTAAAGGGCTGATGTGAAAAATAATCATACGCAATGTAGATTCGAAAAATCGAAAAAAAGAATTCAATTGAAATTTCCTTTTGTATATCGACTTTGAAGCTTGTTTTATCCTTACCTTCTGCATTTTATCACATTCAACCGGTGGATACTAGTGGCAGCCGACTAACCGATTATAGATGTTATATAAACAAAGATAATAATACCGATGATTAAGATGGTTGCCGGTTATCAAGAAGAACCCACTTTGAACAATAACAAATTTATTGTTATTTCAAGCAGAAAAGCGTAGTTAGTCCCATTTATGAATTAAGTTTTTGTATTTATGATACCAAGTCACAGGACGAACAAGTCGTGTGCCTGGTGGTAAGCGATTCGCCTGTCCATAACAGTTGCAGTGCCACTCTGAGTTTTAAATTCGCAAAAATCTGAGGGGCACTGCCAATGCGCCCGTCACTGTGAGACATAAGTTGAAAAGTCCCATATGTCTGTAATTTCACGAGCACCCTTACCCTTCAAAACCGGAACGCTGTAATGCTCACTCTACTGCTTGGCGTCAGAAATAGTTAAGGTGGCCATAATTCCCTGGGCTATGTCTTTCAAAAGGAGCTCTCCTGCTAATAAAATTAAGTTGAATGTGTGCGCTGCTTTTTCCGTCGAACTTAATACAGTTTCCAAATACTGTAGCACACGATATCAACATCGTGAAAACAATGAAAAAATTAAGATTAAATGTGTCTCATCATCACAGTATTGTGTTCCGTATTACATTAAACAATTATTTCGAATGATATCTACATATGGTATTTTCGTTGTGTCGTACAGTTTTACGGGCATTTACGTGATCATAGTAATAATATTGTCTGGTTTTGTATGACTTCACGTATTATCTACATTTTGATGGACACTGATTAGGAGTATACACATATCCTATATAGAATCTTAATACGCGATTTTCCAAAAATCTACTTTTTTTGGATTGTGCCCTTATATTACTAAGGGTGCGATATGTATAATGTACAAAAGTTAGGTTATACCTGAAAGGAATATTCCCAGGTCGTTTTTGATCGACTAGGAGAATGGTTTGTTCAGGTGTAGTCATGATGCTTAAGAAAATACGCATGTACTACATTCATAGTACACAACTGCATCCCTGGCCGAACGGTTACCACGCCGGACTGCCATGCAAAGGTCCTGGGTTCGATTCCCAGGCTGGGAGAAATATGTATATGGCCTATATTTATTTCTCTCGTGAGTTTGGGTGTAATTTGTGGTTGTCTATGTGTGCGTCCATGGCACCCGCGACACAAGGTTTCCCTAGTGCGTTCTATGTTGAGTGTGTGCGTTATTATATTATTATTATTATAGTACTAATTACACACACACAGTGTAGTTGCCAGTGGACATGCACTGATGACTCAGACAGGATATTCGATGAGGTTTGGTTTAAAATAGTACTAGTATTAAGAAGAAAACCTTTTGATTCTTTGTTTTCAAAGACAGAGTTCCTGACATTGACGCACTTACACATACACACACACACCCTAACGAATACACACGCGCGCGCGCACACACACGAAATTAAAATATTAGCGAGGCATTAACAGCCATTACCGATATTATTAAGGGTATGGCGTAATAATGTAAAACTTCTCCCATAAATTTAAAATTTAATATGAAACCATAATTTAACTTGATTCGGTCGTTTTTAGCATTTAACCACCAACAGAAATACATTCTAGACAGGTATTCATGATAATTTTTATTAACACCGTTGATAAATCAGAATGAATACTCGAAAATTCAATCAAAACCGCATATTAAGATGCATTTTTATAAGGGCGCTCTACTCGAAACAAATTCACGAGTACAAAGTATAAGCAATAGTAAATGCACCACTATATAGTGGCACAAAGAAAGAATCCATAGCGATTACGAAAATGAACTTATATTAGCAATAATGGTTAGCCTGAAGGTTGTCCAGAAGTGAGGAGTTAGCTTGGTAGTATATTGGTGTTTCATGTGGTATAGTAGCGCTTCAATGTGAGGGAAAGAGAGGCCTCTACCAGCGCACAGCTCGCCGCTCGGTATGTCGAAACCTTCGGTTGCATTCACGCCATCCACCGCGCTACCGCCGTCGCCAACACCGCTGCATGTTGCAAAGTCACAGTTCACACTTAGACCACATCAATAAACCATCTCTCGTGCTCTGAAAGTGACAGTGATATTTACGACTCACGTGTTGTGTTTGTGACCCCTGG